TTTTAGAAACGTAGCCTATGGCCGCGTCGAATGACTCCTAGTACTTACTAACACACGGGAAAAGAGGGAAGGATGATTCTGTATCGCACGGTTGATGGACGTGGAGGTCTGATGCGAGCAGCAGCGTTGGGTAAGGCACTCGACGTACTCTGGGCGGACACAGAACTGATGGTAGTACGTTCAAGCTCGGACGGTAACGGCTCCTAGGCTGTACGGGTGACTGTTGAACTGCTGCCTCTCTGCCATCGTGTACGGGATGGGGGAAGTACCCGGTGTAACTATATATTAGATATACGTAGGGATATGATATCGAAAGAAAGTATCGAAACTAGTATCGAATACAAATATTGATATCAGTAAAATATAAACAAATGTATCGATATCAGTAAGTATCGAATCATTTTATGAATAGTATGACAAATTATACTGTATGGAATGATAAAATATTGTAATTTTAAAATTCGATTCCTACTAATATCCTACTAATGAATGTTAAAAATATTTGTATAAATGTATAATTAGTATCAATGACAAATTACTCTGTTATTTCTATTTCTATCCACTAGTAAAAACCAAATATTTGCAATTATATTTAAAAGCCTAAAATATACGTAATAAATTTTAAATAAAAATTGTCTTTTATTATTTATTATACATTTATTTATACAAAATGCTTATAATATTATATTTTATAACTAGCCGACCCGTCACAGCTTCGCCCGTGAACTCCGTTAATTTTTTATTCAAATATTATTGTTTAATGTGATCGGCAAGTAAATATAAAAAACGGTTAATGAAAACGGATTGAAATTTTTCTAGCGTTATAAATGATAAAAATAAATACAGATAAAAAATAAATAATTTATGGTTGATAAAGAATTTGATTGAAGTTGATGAAGAAAAAAAAGAAAAAAAAGAATAAAAATAAGAATTTTATGAGACTTCTGAGTATATGATGTTTTTTGTTATATTTCCTGTTGAAATTAAAATCATAAGATGATTCGGGTCCCCAGTTCGAGAAAATGCCACGTATAATTGCCCATGTGAAAATCACTCTGTACGAAGATCTACGTCACAATCGTTCATAGCTTTGTCTACTATGGGATCTTTGCCTTCTCGTTTTCTTTTTCTATTTACAGGTGCACTTTTGTTGTTATTTAATTTTTCATATTGTTCTCGAATATCTTTTTCATTATTTTTTAATCGGCTTAGTACCGATTTAGACGTGCCTATTATTTTTTCCAACTCACGAAGACTAGTACTATGAGGTTGGGCCTTAATTTTTTCCAGTATAGAAATTTTTTCGATTAATGTTAAATCTTTACGAGACATAATTGTTACGTTTTAACCCAAACTGGAAAACGCACTAAAAACGCACATACATTAATACACGGAGACGAAAGAACGTGAACTAAAAGTTTTCGATTTTGTACGTAGGCTAGTGAACTTATATCAAGGTAGTTGAAAAAAAAGAAATGATTGACATAATTGACGTAAGATTTCCGCACATTACCAATATGTGTATTATACATAAACGTGTGTATATAAAATATAATAGAGCCATAAAGATTACAGTTTCGATAAGAATATCGATCAAAATATCTAGTTAGACACTTTTATTTTTGTCCCTTATAACCGATGGCTTGTCCCCAATATACGAAGTTAAATTGCCTTAAAGGAATACATTCGTTCGGGACTATACCAATTTGCGGTGCAACACGATTGCGCACTTTTTACCTTTTTACCTGATAAAAACACAACACGATTGCGCACTTTTTACCTTTTTTTTATCTTATAATTAGTATCAGTAATTTTACCATATCATTTTTAAACTAAGGTCCGAGAATTGAAAGCGTAGCTATTTAAATTTAATAATATAACAAATAAAAATTGAAATTTAGGACTATTGCGTGGCTTATAATTTATAAATAAAATAATATACAAATAATTAGTAGTTGAATACATAATGTGGCTTATACAACATATAAATATACATTTTTATCTTATATTTATCAGTTAAGAATTTAGTATAATATAATTATTGTTTGAATAAAAAAATTAAAAAAAATTAACAAAAATCAAAAAATATTTATAACTTTCTAGCACAAAAACGTGGTCCTAACGTTAACAAATAATTATTTAACGACATTTCATTATTTTTATATTTTTTCCAAGTATCAATTATAAATACAATATTTTCTTCTTGCTCTTTACGAGGCTTGTTAATATTTTTTTGTTTTATACTAAATATTTTTAAATAAGATTCACTTTGAATATCCAATAAAATATGTAAAACTTGATGAATAGACGGATGAGATGTATAAAACTGTGCATTATAGTGGTTATGGAAAGACTCTGGCCCATTGGTCGTTCTTGCCTCTGTTGAAGGTTCAGTTGCCCATAAAATCGGTGGAAAAACAGCATCAGATGATATATAATTGTTCAGTATATAATCAGTAAATTCAAAATTATCAGTAGGGCTATTTTCAATTAAATAAGTAAAAGCATTTTCTACATCTTCCGTGGGTAAAAATCCGAGTGCAAAAAATTGTTTCAACCAAACGCCTAGTTCAGATTTTGAATAATAATTTTTTAATAAATTACTGTCGCTTTGAATTTTCCTGAACCAAGATTGGCCTAAATGAAATCTACAGGCCATAATTTTGCAGTTCGGGAAAAAATGTCTAACAGCGTTATGAGCACTTTTTTCAAAATCAAAATGAAAATTTGAATGCTTTAATGTATTTTTTATATCTATGTCAATACATTTTAAACATAAATTAATAATTGTGTGCCACATTTGTATATAAGTTTCAGTTGATTTTGAAATTAAAAAACAGTAAATTACAGGAACATAAAACCCATTTTGTAATATATGTATTGAATACAGTTGTTCAAAATATTTGGGCGCATATGAAAACGTCCCGTCTGCAAAAATATGAGAAGATTGACTCAATAATTCAAGATTGGTTTTACAAGTGAATATAACTGGACTTGAAGTTTTTTCCATGTGACAAAATAGTTCACCAGTATTAGTTGTAATATTTTCACGACCATCAAACAACTGACTTATCGCTTCCTCTAAAGATTTTGGAATTTTTTGCATATGCTTTCTACGTTTATCGTACATACACTTTCTCCATAACTTTATATCAGAATAAACGGGCTGGATATATTTTTCGGTATTTCTAAGTTTTTGCCTAATTATTTTATTTGGCCTTGTGAGAAGATCATTTTCACATTTTCTTTTTAAACGAGAACTTACAATTTGCCTACCAACAATATTTTCTGGAATCACGCCATGTGTGTGCTCATTTAACATACTTAATATTTTAGTCACATCCTTGTCAACAAGTAAACTAGCAGAACAATTTTTATTTGTACAGCAATACCGAATGTTCCCACACTTTTTCAGAACTTTAAATTCACTATATTTATAATCATCAACTAAAATGCATGGCTTACCTTTTTCTGTTTCGAAATTTTTTTTAATTTGTTTTTCCATTTTTTCAAAATGAAATTGTACGAAAATAAAATGGAAATATGTACTTTGCGCGATATGAGATTGCCACAATGACGTGCGTATGTGACTGACGACTGCCAAACTATACATATCGTTATTAACGTACAGGATTGTCGGGATTAGATAACTATCAATAAAATCCGGTAAAATAAATATTATCGGATGTGAATACGTTGGAAAAACAATATGTTTAAAATCACAGTCTCTAACACTTATCAGATATTATAGTAATAAAATATTATTTACAATTGTGTATAGGTACGTATACTATACTATAAGTGGGTTTCTTAAACTTATTATTTATTTATGTCCATCATTTACGCCAAAAATATTAAATTAAATTAATTTTGTGCACAATCGTGTGGTGTTTTTTCAAATATAAAAAGGTAAAAAGTGCGCAATCGTGTTTTATTTTTTTCAGGTAAAAAGGTAAAAAGTGTGCAATCGTGTTGTGTTTTTATCAGGTAAAAAGTGCGCAATCGTGTTACGGCCACCAATTTGTCCCCATTAAGCGGTTGTCCCCTTTAAACGGTGTCCTAATTAAGCGGATTCCACTGTATATATACTAGCGGTTGGAACCCGATTGAGCACAGTTTACCTTTTTTACTATTCGATTGAGCACAGATACAATTAAACAATAGAAATCCAAAATGTAACACGATTGAGCATAAAAATACGTACAACGTTAACGTACCACACAACAGAATAATAATTTAAAAAAATATTGAAATATTTACGAGAATTATTTTATAATAATCAGGGTTCGGGACTTGTTGCATTTGCATATTCTTTAATAATGACTGCAGAATAGTCTAAGTAAGGTATAAATTTGTTTCAAGACTTAACGAATTGAAATACAAGAATTTTAATTGCATATTTTTGCATATCTTGCCGTTTTCTAGGCAAAATGCATATTTGACAAATTTTGGCGATTACATTTTTTTTTATAGCATATTTACGCAGTTTTGTTTCATGTTCGGTAAATTTATATTAAAGATGAATATTATTTGTTTATTTGTTATGCGTCGGTTAATATACCTATTCATAGAACAAATCATCGCATAAGGCCATCATTCACACAGTCCGTTTCTTTAACGGCAACGGAAACGGATCGAATGAAAATAGAAAACGGAGTATATAAGAAACAAAGTTATTTATACTATCCGTTCACACTATTCGTTTTAAAGGGTCCCATACACGGTCAGTCTTGAATGACAATCAACTTGATTGACAGTCAAGACTGATCATGTATTTGCATGATTTAACATGATTGACAATCGATATTCGTGACTGATGAAATTCAAACATGTTTGAATTTTGACCGTCAGTCACGTTGATTGTCAATCAAGACTGACCGCGTATGTCTATGAATGTAAAATATATCAGTCATCGAGTCGAACTCGAACAGTGTAGACGAGTCGTTTCTGTTTTGTTTATTTCCCATCCTCGTAGTTTATAAAATAAAAATAACAATAAAATGGCTAATAAAATAAATAATGAAGATTTTTGGCGTGAGTTTATACATTTATACCGCAGTTTACCGGCTACTCAGAAAATAAAAAGTGACATGTACAAAGATAGAGTTTTAAAACAAGAATTTTACATCAAATTAACAGAAAAACTAAAGGAAATTGATCCATCCGCTGATATTAATACTACTAAAAAAAAACTTAACACTTTGAGATCAAATTATCGTCGTGAGTTAAAGAAAGTGATAGCGAGTAAAAAATCAGGTAGAAGTACCGATGATATCTACTTGCCGTCAGTTTGGTATTTTGAAGAATTGGAATTTTTACGGGACCACGAGATTCAATTTAGTGGAACATCGACGATGGATGAAGACAGTGAAGAAACATTTTTGAATACGACAACGGCGACGCAGCAATCGCAAGACATTGGAAAATACCGTACGTAATAATATAATATTTTATTTTTGGAAATTTAATTCCATAACTATATATTTAATAATATATATTTAACGGTCGATCGCGGACAATTGCAAAGTCGATCATGTTAGAATTTATTTTTAGGGACACGCGCACGAATTGTTATCGAATTGTCGATAAGTTTTATCTGTTTAATTTTAATGCCTAGATCAACAATATAATATGTTAATTAAACTTATCTAATTAGGTTTAGAAATTATTATTTATTATTACCTATATTATTTCGTTATTGAATTCGTAATTCAGAATTAACTACCAATCGTGAAAACTCAAAAATTAATTATGTTAGGAAAAATACATTAAACAACAAATTGTGAAAATACAAGTGAAATTACTAAAGAGTGTTGTATATTTTTCATATTTTTGATTACAAAAACTTTTATAGCTAAAAATAATAATAATAATTACAAATTAAGTTCATAAATTAATATTATTTTCGAATAAATTGTCTTGCCAATGGACTGCTCCGGCGTTATTGAAATATGAACAAAAGTTATCCCGTACTTCTTTGGCTGTTGAGCTTGAATTTCTTCCTTGATAAGGTTGTATCTGAACTAATTGGCCATTACTTCCCGGTTCCACGTCTCCCGATGAAATATTTTCAATGTCCAAAGTTTCCTCCAAAAATATTTCCATTTTATGTTTCCGTAAAAAGTTGTGTAGATGGCAGCAGGCACGAACGATTATAGTGGTTTTTTCTGGACATAAATTAATTGTTTTCAAAAGTATTCGAAATCGTGATGCTAATATACCAAATGTATTCTCAATTATTCTACGAGCCCTCGACAATCTATAGTTAAATATACGTTTCTCTTTACTTAAATTTCTTTGCGGATAGGGTTTCATCAGATTATTTGAAAGTGGAAAAGCATCATCCGCTACAAATACGTATGGGAATTTTTCATTTATTCCTGGTAGGTAATCCGGTTCCGGAATATTTAATTTTTTTTCAAGAAAATTCTTATAAAATACAGTATTTGAAAATACGCCTCCATATGAAACTCGTCCGTTTGCGCCAATATCCACCATAATAAATTCATAGTTAGCATTTGAAATGGCCATCAAAACAATGCTGAACGTATGTTTGTAATTAAAAAAATATGAGCCAGATTCTTGAGGTTTTATTATCTCTATATGTTTGCCATCGATCGCCCCCAAACAATGATGAAAATTCCATTTTGACCCGAAGTCTTCAGAAATTATTTTCCATTCCTCTTCTGAAGCAGACATCTAATAAAATATAATACAATAATTAGTAATGGATTGCAGATTTATGTTTATTTATAGGTTATAATCATAGTTAATTTATTTCATTTTTATTAGCAGGTAGATATTTTCGCAAAAAACCATTTTGAAACTCCTTTCTCGACTCCAGACCAACCACCCACAAAAAAAAAAAAAAAAAGGAAAATTCTGAAGAAAAAAGAAAAAATGATTTGCTAGAATTAGCATGCGAACGCCTACAACAAACTTCATCTGATGCCGACATTTTAGCAGAGTTGGGCAATTGAGTTACAAAAACTTGATACAGAACAACAACTGTTTGCTCAAAAGGCTATATCCGATATCCTTTTTGAAGGTCGCTTAAAAACGCTCCATCGTAATTCTGTGAAAATCAATCATTCATGTGTGCGTTCGCGTTCTTCAACCGCATCAACGTTTGTTTCAACTATGCCTGTTTATATGTATGAAAGTAGCAATTCTTCACTATCCAACCATATACAACAAACATGGGAGATTCCAATTGCTTCAAACCCAACAACGTACAGTAATTTGGGTGAACTTTTTTCCGACACTCAATATTCAAATTAAGATGTATTATTTTGAGTTTATACTATACAACACAATTTGGTTGAAGATAATTTTGATTAATAAAATAATAAGGTGTAAATTCAATTCTTTTTATATTTTTTTTTTAAAACAAAATAACTTAAAATGTAATTACTGCTATCAAAAGAGAAAAAATGTATTATTTATTTATTTTTATATATTAACATTTTTACGGGACAAGCCCTTTAACAAAGAAGATATAAAGTAATCTAGACATCCAAAAACATAAGAAAATAATAATTATACAGGTACAATATAAGTTTTGGTTAAAATTAAATGGTATGATATTCAAATTGTATAATATGAGAAAAAAAATATATATAATAATAATAATAATGTTTTTAACTTGAAAATAAAGACAAAGCTTTCATTCTAATACAATCACGAGACATAAAAAAAAAAATCAACATCATTACGAATTAGGTTGCATAACGTAAGCGCTCTCGGAAAAAAAGAATCGGTACAAATTTTTTTTTTAAAAAAGGGGACAAAAAATAAACTTGAGCTTCTAATTGAATAGTTATGAGTTACAATACCAATCTTACTTAACAATTCGGGACAATTAATATTATTATTTAGGAGATCATAAATAAATAATAAATCAGATATCTTACGTCTAACTTCGCATGGCTGAATACAAATTGAGTGTCTTACTGTTACTGAGTGTCTTACAATGAGCTTGAACCTCTGGAGATCGGTAAATTTAAGCGAAAAGCAATTGATTTTAGGAATTTATATTGAACATTGTCAACCAGTTGAACGGTCGAATTTTGACTCCATATCAATGATCCAAATTCTAAGTTAGATCTAACAAGGGAGCAATAGAGGGTTTTTAGTACTTGAATATTTTTAAATTCTTTAGTATTTCTTAATATAAAACCAAGCATTTTAAATGCTTTATTGATAACTATGTTAATATTAGAAGTAAAAGACAAATTGGAGGAAAAAAGTACACCTAAATCTCTAATTGAGTCCACTCGGTTAATAATAATATTATTAATCTTATAATTGAAAACTAAAGGATATTTTTTTTTAGTAAAAGAAATAACATTGCATTTATTAATATTTACTGGTAATAAATTTTCGTGACACCATGTGGAAAACCTATCTAAATTCTCTTGGAGAATAATTACATCATCCTGATTATTAATAATTGAGTAAAATTTAGTGTCATCAGCAAACATTAACACATTAACTGACGAATTAAAAACAGATGGTAGATCATTAATAAAAAGAGTGAATAATAAAGGCCCCAAATGCGAACCTTGTGGAACTCCAGAGCAAACATGAATAACTTCTGAAAAAGAATGTAACAGTTTTACTGACTGGGTTCTATTAGTTATGTATGAATTTAACCATTTAAGGAAATTGCCGTGCAAACCAAAACTTTGAAGTTTAGATATAAGTAAATTATGGTTTATTCTATCAAAAGCTTTACTGAAATCAGTATAAACTGTATCAATTTGACATCCATTTTCAATAGATGAGATTAAATCAGTATGATAAATGAGTAGATTCGTGAAAACAGATTTTTTAGGCTGAAAACCATGTTGATTAGGACAGATATAATTGGACAGTAAATTAGATAGCTTTTTAGTAATAATAGACTCAAATAGTTTTGGGATAATTGACAATTTAGAAATCGGTCTATAGTTAATAACATTACTTTTGTCACCACTTTTAAATATAGGAACAATATACGTTTTTTTCCAATACATTGGAAAGGTGCCTGTTGAGAGAGACAAATTATATAATTTATGAAGTGGTTTAGTAATGATTCTTTTACATTCCTTTAATAAAATAGGAGGCACACCATCAGGACCCACAACACTAAATGCGTTAAGCGAATGCAAGGCATCGATAATTTCTTCCTCGCTGATATACCATGAAAATAAATTTAAATTATTAATAGAATTTGTAGCGTCATAACTCATATTCATGTTATTATGTGTGGGAGGAGGTGAGTACACACTGGAAAAAAATTGAGAAAATAATTGAGCGGACTCATCGAAACTACTGGCAGTGATATTATTATACGACATATTTTCAGGAATAGGAGTTTTATTAGATTTAAGCTTTTTAATGTGATTCCAAAATGGTTTTATATTAGCCAAAATGTTATTTTCTAATCTAAGAATGTAATTGGAATTACAATGTAATGACAGTATTTTACATTCTTTACGAAGGTTCGAAAACGCATTATAATCGTATTGAGACAAAGTCATTTTATATTTTTTATGAGCAATTTTTTTTAAGTTGACAAGTTTTCGTAATTCTGGATTGCACCAGGCGGGATTTTGATAATCAAATACTCTGCATTTTGGGACAAACAATTCAATTAAATGATTTAAAATTTCATAGAACTTATTTACTGCAGAATCTATACTTAAATTATTAAATGATTGATTAAAATCAATATTTGATAGGCAGTAAGATAAGCTTGAAAAATCACATTTTATAAAATTATAAAAAGTTACGTCATTACCTCTATTATCCATATATAAGTTATCAAGGATACAAGTAAAGTCTAATGGAGGATGGTGATCATCTGCCAAAGGAACTAAGGAACACCCTTTAAAAATAGTTGAAATTTGGATATCAGTAAAAATAAGATCAAGAGTTCTATTATTTTTGTTTTTTATCTTATTTAACTGCTTTAAGTTTAAAAAATTTAAATAGGAATTGACAATAACATTGGCGGTGGGATGAATAATGTGAGGTGATTCGTTAGACCAATCAAAATTATTTAAATTAAAATCCCCAACAATAAGTATTTTATGGTCTTGGTTATTTGAAATGATATTTTCAACCAGTTCACAATGTTCACGATAAACTTCCCTAACAATAGAAGGGGGAATGTACACACAAATCACCAAAACTTTAATACATTTTAAAATAATTTTTATAAATACTTGTTCAATTTCTGAAATAATTGGTACATCGAATCGCTCACATTTTATTCCAGTACGTACACCAATTAAAACGCCGCCACCCCTAGTTCCAAATTCATTTGCTCTATCAGTACGGAAAATATGAAAATTATTTAAACCCAATTCAGAGTCATTTACTTTAGTATTTAGCCATGTTTCAGTCAGGAGTAATAAATCACAATCAATTACACTTATACAATTACGAAAATAATTCAATTTGGTTAACATACCTCTTACATTTTGGTAATTAACATGAAAATTTAAAAATTTTGAGAATTTTTAACAACGGTATCAAGCTTGATAATAGTTGGCAGACCTTTGATAAATTTGATTGTAAGATTTTGTTCACCGCTTGCATTACGAGTAGCTAGTTGATCGCGTAGTTGTTTCATTTGTTCACGTTGAAATTGTGTCCTATCAGAACTGATACCAATATTAGTTTTTGTTGGCGGGAGGCGAGATAACAGTAGTTTCTTGTTTTTCAATATATCAAATGCGTCACCAGCTGTGGAGAATATTGCATTGATCGGGCGGTGTTTATCAGAATGATAAGATTTCCCTAGACGGATTACTTTAATCGGCATTTTTATATCTGACGTATCATTAATAATTTTATTTATTTCTTCCTTATCGTGTGATATTCTTTCTACAACATTTTTAGACGTACTTTCCGGTATATTATAAAATATTAAATTCGAAGCCCTCATATTACGTTCGTTCACTTCGTTGATTACAAATTCATCAGATCTTAGTGTACTTGATTTTTTTTTAAGACTTTCCACTTCAACTAATAGAGAACTGATTAATATTTTCAATTCTGGTAATTCACTTAACCCTTTCTCACATGAATCGCAAAAATATTTTAATTTACGGCTTTTCATAGTGAGACATTTGAGTTCGGTAGCCGATAAACCGGAACATTTACTATGGACAAGTCTAGAACAACTATCGCATTTTAAAGGACTATCCAAATCACCAAGTTGTACTTCACAAACACAACACTTATTAATTAAAACCATTGTAAGTAATGACCGTAATAGATTGACAAACTAATTATACCCAGCAAAACACAACCTGTTAGCACGGCTGTCAGATGATAATCTGTAATCAGTATTATTCTTGTAATACTATTTAAATAAATAAATAAAAAATCCGGTATACTCAAAACCTTGTAAAATGTTTAATTCTTTATGCTATTAAAATTGTATTGCACCAAAATATTCACAACATCATATACTAGATGTGTAGAAAGTTTCATATAGGTAGGCTGCACCAATTATTTTTTACAAGTGTAATTTGTTGTAAAAATAGGAAATTTCGGCAAAACGCAAACTTTAAACGTTTGTAAAAAAATATTATGAATAACGATTTTTGATATTTTTTCATCATCGGTAGTAATGCTTATGAGTATTATTGTATTAAATTTTCAGCTCTAATTATCCAAAGGCTAAAGTTTTACGAAGCAAAAACTTACAAAAAACGAGAAATTTCCAATCTTATCAAAGTTCTACTTACAAGTAAAAAGTTGTTAAATCATTTTGAAATTTTTATTGGGTATGTGCGTGACCTATGTTAGTAGTCAGTAAAATTTTCAATTTTATTATTGAACTAGCTTTATTATTGACGGAGTAATAGCTAAAAAACTAAAAAAGATTTTACTAAAATCGAGAATACGGCATTTTTCACGTTTTTTGTCAACTTTTCGGTAGTTATCGCCCACGCTTGGAAAAACTATTGAGAAAATGAGCCGAATTAAGTACCATCTGGGGATGATTTCCTATCTAAAAAGTTGCTGGATGAAACTTTTGGTCCAGTATTTCTATAAGATAAACTGTTTACATACATAAAAAACTAAAAAAAAAAAACAGATTTTTAAAACCAATACATTCTTCGTTTCACTCAGAATCTAAAATTATGATTTACTTACCTTTATATTATCTTTTAGTGCAGTTGTTATAGCTTCACATGTTTCAATTATAATTTTTCCAATCGTTTGTGGAGCGATTGCGGTCATGAATTTAAACTCTTCGGAATTAGCGCCGGTCACCAAATATCGTAGCGTACACGATAAACGTTGGTAACCATCTTTAATAAATTTGAAAATGTTAAGTGGTTCATGCGAAGATAGTTCTTATAATCAGATGGAGAAGATAACATTAGTTTGTTGAGAAGATTATGATGGGTGAATGTGTTCCTTTTTTTGAACCATTCCTTCATCCAAAATCTTTTTTTTTTCTCTTCTTCGTCTTATTAATTTTATCAGTCGCAAGGTAAATGGCAATACCAATGATGGTTTCTTCATCCATTGTGCACTTAAATATATTGTATTAAAATTTGAAATGAATTTAAATTTTAAATTTTAATTTAAACGAACAACTACTATATAACACTATACACACGATACACCATACTTTCAATACCTAGCAAAACAAAATGAGTGAATGACTGTAGATTGTCATTCTTGATTGATTGTGTATGGAAGTTATCAGTCGTCAGTCAATGATTCGTCTTGACTGTCAATCACGTTGATGTCATTTAAGACTGACCGTGTATGGCACCCTTAACCAACGGACAAATAACCCGCCGGCCCGTTATCGGATGAATCGACGGATTGCCTCAATATATTTCCGTCGTTGGAACGTTTTTCAAACGGACCGTTTATCGAGACTACATTAATAGATACAACCTTTCACACTGTCCGTTTCGTATCCGATTACTTTTATCCTGTACCCGTTATTTAGATTTTTTGGTAGTATTTGTAGTAATTAGTAGTCAATTTGTGTTCATCGTCGTCGTGACTAGTGGCATATTTTCTATTAAAATTTTTTCTACAAAACTAAAAAAATATGTCGGAATCTGTGAATTTAGAACTTCTAATCACTATGATCGAAGAACGGCCAGTAATTTGGGATAAAACTCTAGAAATATACAAAGACAGAAACTTAACGAGGAGTGCATGGAAGGAAATATGTTTGGCATTTGTTGAGGATTTTGATGATAAATCATACAAACAAAAAGATGATATAAGTAAGTCTCAATAAATATTAACAACTTAAAAATATTTTTATAGTCAAGAACAATAAGTACCATATATTTAGATTTTATAATTTTTTAATGAAAACAATTGTTAGGATCGTACTGTTTGTGTAACCGATATAAAATTAAATCAACTAATTGACTTATTTCATTATATTGAATTATTATATACTTGAATTTTGCCATGGCACTGATCCTGCATCACTTACGAAGTATTCAGCATACTTATTTCGAATTTCATTGGCATGTCGTCCTCCTCGTACATAGTTTGCTTGATGAACCGCGTCTTCAAATTCCATTACAGGTAATTCATTGATTTCGTGTCCTTCGTAATGAAGTCCGTCTTTTTCGCGAATAATATTATGTAGAATACAAGCAGCTTTGACAATATCAACAGCAAAATCTGTGGCAACATTCAATGGCCGATGCAATATACGCCATTTATTACTAAGTATACCAAAGGCGCACTCTACGTATCGCCGTGCTCGGCTTAGCCGGTAATTAAAAACTTTTTTAGTTGTAGTTAAGTGATAGCCACCGAAAGGTCTTAGTAAATTTGTTGTAAGTGCAAATGCTTCATCACCCAAAAAAACATAAGGAAAATCTTGATCTTGTAATTCATTTATCAGTTCTGGATCAGGTATATGTAATTCGTTTTTCTCCATTAATTTCCACAGTGACGATTCTTTAAATATTGTAGAATCACATTCTTTTCCATACGCTCCAATGTCTATGTACGTAAATCTATAATTTGAATCTGCTACAGCAAGCAGCACTATAGAAAAATAGTTTTTATAGTTGTAGTACATCGATCCACTTTTTTCTGGCATAATAATCCTTATATGTTTTCCATCTATGGCACCTAAACAATGTGGAAAGTTGGAAGTTTAGACATCTTGCAAGTGGCTGTACATTGACAGAAATCCATTTTACTTTTCGAATTGGAATTTCTACTGCAAGTAAAATAATACAAACTGTTTGTTGCAAAATATGGGACGTTTTAAAAAACAAATATATACCTGCTCCGTCAAAAGAGAATTGGAAAACAATTGCAAAAGGGTTTGAAAAAACTTCCAACTTTCCATATTTTCCAAAAAAACAGATGATTTTGAAGAAAGAATCTTAAATATTATAGAAACTCAAGAAACACCACGTGAGCAAAATGTTATAAACCGACACATGTCTTTTTTTGAAAGCATTTTACCATCAATCAAACATTTTAATGAAGATGAGACATTTGATTTTCGTATTGGTGTAATGAACTTGATCAAATCTATTAAAAAGAGGAATGTTATTGGTCATTCTACACCAAATCCTCAACCTACAAATATTTATAACACTTCTTGTATGTCACAAAATTATCCATCCGAATTTCTTAATACAAATTTACACTCGATCCCAGCTTCGCCTACAGTTAATTTACAAAATTATATAAGATCATTTCAAAGTGCAGCCGCTTCCAGTGATTCAACTTTTATTTCGCCAGTACCTTCTGTATCTACATCTTATTCTGACTACAGTGACACGACATCAGAATATAATAATAATTAATTTTTTTTTTTTAAACATTTTAATTATTTTATAATGCATTCATATTAATGAGTTTATACCAAAAAGGTAATTTTTTTATATTTTCAAACGTTATTACAAAGGTAAATTTATTTTATATTTTTAAATGTTATAAACAAAGGTACATTTTATTAGTTTAAAGTTTTCATAAATAAATATTCATAAAAGCATTAATATATTATAAATTATATCATTTTGAAATACCTATTTACCTTATAGCAATGGCCAACATTTCTTCGGATCCTATAGATTTCCTCATTTTTGTATCTTTACGAGATATTTCTTCTTTTAGAGTAACATGTAATTCATCAAATGTAGAAATTGACATCCGAAAAAAATTAAAGAATTTTTTTGGGTCAGACCTTAATTCATTGTATAAAGTTTTGTAAACACCCAAATTTTCACGATTTTGTAATATTGGATGAACCCAGTACTTTCTCCTGTGAGGTCTTATTACTAGTTTGTGTCTTCGGTAAAGTAAGTATAAAATTAATAACTTTTTTGATTGCTTTTTTAACACCATGATTACAAAAACTTCACAATATTTGCACACAACGTACCGATTGGAACTGGATAATATCGAGTAGTAAATTATAATAAAAGTCAATGTTGCCGTTAGTTAAACGGACTGTGTGAAAATATTGTCCGTTTTCTATTTTTATCCGATCCGTTTCCGTTGCTGTTAAACAAACGGACTGTGTGAAAATATTGTCCGTTTTTTATTTTCATCCGATCCGTTTCCGTTGCCGTTAAAGAAACGGACTGTGTGAAAGAGGCCTAATTCGCATCACAAAACACGACAACTAGGGATATACCTATACTTTATATTGTTTTGGAGTATAGCTCAGTTTATTTATAAATATGAGATAATAACATCATTATCTGGACGTGGCATTTAGGGAAATACCTAATAAATTGTTTCTGTGTATACTATTGTTAAATCGTAAATCATTTTAAGTAAGTAAAGGAAAATACGTATTCACCATTCAGTATTTCAGTTTGATTTCGTGCGCCGTGGCTTTTATACGTTGTTATTCTCTTGTAGTTATTTTATAGTTCTCGTAATTATTTTAAAGATGCCGAAAATAATGAACAATTCGCGTATTAAACAATATATATCCGAGTTTGGGGAAAATATTTTTTCAAGTGATGGTAAAATTTTGTTTTGTAAATTTTGTGAAACAAAAATAAATACAGATAGACGATATTTGGTTACTCAACATTTGAAGACCGAAAAACATAAATCAGCTTTAAAACGTAAGCAAGATCAGATGAAAAATAAATCACAACAACTAGTTTTTACTGCTATGACTTCTAAAAAAATTTCTTTTAACCACGATTTGTGTAATACCTCTCCGCTAATATTCCTTTAAATAAATTAAACAATCCTAAATTCAGAGAATTTTTGTCAAAATACACGGAAAAAGACATTCCATTTGAGTCAACTTTGCGAAAAGGTTACATCGACGATGTTTTCAATCAAACAATAAATAAAATTAGAATGTATATTGAAGGAAAAAAAAATTGGGTAAGCATCGACGAAACCACGGATGTAACTGGTAGATTTGTAGCTAACGTTATTATCGTTACACTCGAAGAAAATGGGCCTGGTCAAATATTTTTGTTAAACGTGGAAGAGCTAAAAAAAGTAAATCATTCAACAATTTTTAAATTGTTCGATAAGTCAATGAATATTTTATGGCCTGACGGTGTTAAACATGACGATGTTCTGTTATTCTTGTCTGACGCTACCCCATATATGATTAAGTCTGCAAAATCAATAAAAACATTGTATTCAAAAATGATACATAACACATGTCTTGCTCACGGATTATACAGAGTGGCTGAAACCGTTCGAATTTTAAATCCTGAAGTCGATAAAATTATTGCTAGCGTAAAAAAAATCTTTATAAAAGCTCCATCTCGCGTTCAAATTTTCAAAGATATTGCTCCATTATTATTGCGAACATTTTGAAATTATATAGTCGATGGTAAACTCATTGAACAAAGATGATGCAATATCTATAAAGACAGCACAAAAATACATCGAAAAACAACATATTCAAACTCAACTTGTATTTATAAAATCCAACTTTTCATTTTTACCAAATGCAATAAAGAATCTTGAAGAACAAAATATGACACTTGCCAGTTCTCTTTCGATAGTGAGGGACGCAGAAATAAAATTAACTCAAATAGGTGGAGCTCAAGGAAAAACGGTTAAAACAAAAGTAGAAACTGTGTTGGAGAAAAATGAGGGATACAAATTAATGGTTAAAATTTCAAATATTTTATCTGGAGACCAGAAAATTTTTGAGGGTTTACCTGAAGATTTAACATTAAATGACTTGGTATATTTTAAATATGCCCCGATCAGTAGCGTAGCGAACATTAAACCATATGGAAGCGAACAAATTATTTATGACCTACCCCACCCACCCTTCTCCAACTGATGTATACGATACTCGTATAGTTATATGCTCAAATAGGGGGGGGGTAGCACCCAAAATAAAGTTGTATCCCCTCTCAAAAAAAAAAAAAAAAAAGTCAAACAAATATCAACTATGAATCCAATTAAATTATTAAAATACAAATGTAATTTATAATTTTCCAGCTTCTCCCTGTTAAAATTTGTGGCTGTTAGTAGTAACGATACTCATAGCTGTATATAGGTTTAATAATGTGTTACATCTATAATTATTATTAATTCACAAAAACAAAAAAATGATATATGTTTAATTTCTGTGCTTAATTGTAACCATTGTAGTGTTAAAATATAATAATTCAACTATACCTATTAAAAACATAAAATTTATTGAAAACTAAAAAAAAACTAATGTACCTAGTAGGGGTGTTATTTATATGAAACAATCGTTTATAAATATTTAACAAACGCTCTTATTTCTTACATTATACTTATTACTCACGACTCACCTATTCTTTATAGAAATAAACATATAAAAAATCATCAAACTTGGTGTTTATTATATAAAAAATTACTAAATCAACTATAACACATTTAACTTTTTAATTATTTGAACATTAATTCTTTTGTCAACAGATCGGATGTCAATGCAAACTTATTAATGGCCTCATTGTAATCGATAGCTATATCTTTTTCAGTACTTAAAAGTACTAAACTTTCAAGTCTATTCTGGCCAACTGTAGATCTAAGACGTGTTTTTATAAGTTTCACCTTGAAATAATAGAAAAATGTAAAATATGAGTTAAAACATAAAACACTATTAAGAATGTAATTTTGTAGAAAAATTGCTTAAAAAATTGTATATTACCTTTGAAAAACTACGTTCAGCTGATGCTGATGACGCAGGAATAGTTCCAAGTGATTTATATGCATAAATTTGGAAATGCTGTTATTAAATCATGGCTTGACAATACATGAAGTATTTTTTCAACGTTCACATTTTCATTCCTACTTTCTTCATCTTCGCTCTCACTTTTTTCAGAATAAGTATTTTCAGAATCATTTTCTTCTCCATGGTTATTTAAAGTGCTTGTAATATTGTGCAATTGCTTCGGTCCTAATCCATCAATTAGTTCATTTAAGCTACTACTAAAAGTTAAATATTCTACTTCTAGTTTATTTAAATCAATACTTTTAATCCATTTTGATACACTTTGAAATGCATCATCAGGTAAACTTTTACCGTCACATTGTCTGTATGACATTAAACGTTCTGGAGACAGAAGACTTAAATCTATCATGACCTCACGAGAGTCCTTAAATCTAGACTCAAGTGAATTTATAATTATATCTAATACTTTATAATATACATCCCGTCTAAAATTGTCTAAACTTGATGGAGAAATGATATCACCTGATAACTCCCCAGGCATAACTTTTTTTTTTCTGATTCTTTTTTCTTTGAAGTCTTGTTCTAATAATTTATGATCAAATGAAAATTGTTTGGCTTCATTTAATATTTTTTCAAGTGCATTATTGTCAAGTCTAAGGTCTTCTAATCTTTTTTTTGCAATATCAACCAATTTTATAGCTTGTATAAAATCAATTGATTTTGACTGGAGATAATTTGAGACTGGAGTAGTTATTGAAAATATTTGTCTTATAAAAACCATAGTAGATACAAAGTTAAAAGAAGAAATTCTCAAAATTAAACTCTTGGCAGTTGAAGAAGTATCCCCGTCAGAATCATTTGCAGAAGCGATAGAATTTAGTGCTTTTAGTAGGGCTGCATATTTTTCATAAACTACCACAATCACTCTGTCGTGAGAAGTCCATCTAGTATTTGAAAAACGTTTTAAGCGTCTTATACATTGATTTTGATACAATTGTTGTTGCCACTCAATAAAACTAGCAGTCCTCTTCCTTGCTCGCATAAATTCAACCAATGCTCTAATATCTCCAAAAAAAACTTTGGTTACTATGCAACAATAGCAAGTGTCAACTATTACCAAATTTAGCAAATGTGCAGAACACCAAACATACAATGCATTGGGATTTTCATTCTGTATGAAAGTTTTCAACCCTGAATATTTACCCTGCATTGATGCCGCACCATCATAAGCCTGAGCACATAATCTTTTTTTCCAGTCAATTCCATTCTTATCAGTGATATTGCAAAATGCTTCAAATAATCACGACCTGTCGAATCTGGTGCAGTCACTTATGCAACCAATCTTTTTTCAATATTCCCTTGTTCATTAACATATCTCATATAAAATGTAAATTGCTCTTTATTTGATACATCAGTTGTAGTATCTATGATGTCAGAAAATAAATTAGATTTTTTTATATCCCGCAAAATCTTTGAACGTACTACTTCTGCCAATATACTTAACATTTTATTCTGACTTTCAGCAGATAAAAATGTTAACCGGTTACACTTTTTAGTATTAATTTTCTGCAAATGTGCATTTAAAGGTGCATGATATTTTCCCAATAAACCAAGGAGTTCTAAAAAGTTTCCTTTGTTATTTGAATCCATACATTCACTGTGACCTCTTATTGCAATATTTTGTCTAGCAGTATAAACCAAAGCATCAATTATAATTTCCATAATCTTCCGATTTTCAGCTACCTGACGGTTAGCTGATTCCAATAATGTAACATTGATTCGTATATTAGACGTATATAAGCCTCGACTTATTTCACTCTGTATGTGTTCAGGTAAAGATTCATGGAGATTAATAGTTTTTGAAATATTTCTAAAATCACATGATCCTGTGGTAGCTAAAAACGAGGTTTTTGCTTTAACTAGCCCAAAAAGTTTACATGTCATGCAAAAAAATCTATCTAATGAAGGAGAGTATGATAACCAAGTTCGTTTACAAAATGTACCATCTTCCAAGTGTTTAAAATAATAGTTTTCATGAAAACATCTCAGATTACCATTACTATCTTTTCTTTTTGGAAATGCATTAAGCTTCAAGTCAAGTGGAGAAGGCTGGCAAGGTCCTAACTCAACAAAATAAGATAAAAGCTGATAAGACACAACTTCTGGCCAATTGACAGGATCATTAGGAAATATATTCTCCCTGGGCGCTATAGCTGTTAAAAAATCAAATGTAATTTTAAATACTAAAACATTTATAAACTACTTATTGAACTCTGAAGTACCAATTACCAAGCTATTTTTTAAAAAGGATACTAAACAGAACACTAACAGTTAAACTTAAACAGTAATGTAACAGTATGTAACCAAAACGTTAAAATGTATAAAACAAAACTATAGATCTAAATCTTACTTGTTAAAAAATTATATACTTTTTTGTATTTTAAATACAATTTATATAGGTATTTTTAGATAAAAGTATTTCATATTATAACACAACTTCAAAGTCCAATATTAAAGAAATTGTTCGGTTAGGTACAGTTAGACGTAGACATTTTTAATTTTTATATATTAGTCTTGGGCCCCATTACAGATAAAAACTCGGAGCCATGGAGGGCCAGACCAAAACTGTGTACACGAACTACATACAAATTTAAATATACAGTATAATATTTTATTCATAAGATATCTACCTGTTAATGAAGTCTGTTCAACCAAATCACTATTTACTTCAACAATGGGCTGTAGTGGATGTTATATTTGGATTATCTTGTACTTGGTCTGTTAAAGTACAGTTATGAATATCAATGCTATAGCTACCAATACCTTATTACAAATACCCGAGTGAAAATTTTTTTATAAATCAACAAACATAATTTATAAGATATCTATATTCTACCTGTTAATGAAGTCTGTTCAACTGGATTATTGTTTACTTCAGGATAGTCTCTAGTTGCACTAGTAGGTGTTATTTTTGGACAATCTAGTACTTGGCCTGTTACAGTACAGTTATCAATATCTATGCTATAGCTATATAACAATAGTATACGCAGGAATAATTAGGTATTTCCCTAGTTGCCAAATCCAGTTAGTAGTGTTATTATCTCATCTTTATTAATAAATCGAGATATACGGAGAAGCAATTACTTATTACGAGTATTTAAGTATATTGAACAACGTATCATGAAAGTAAAAAAAAAATAAAGTTAACCTTTAAATAAATGTACCTAACATAAAACAAAAACTGCGAAAATATGCAATTAAAATTTTTGTATTTCAATCTGTTATGACTTAAAACAAATTTAAATCTTACTTAGACTATTCTACGATCATTATTAAGCAATATGCAAATGCAACAAGTACCAAACCCTATATATGTCTATTATATATCATAATATTAATTTATATTAATTCTTTATATTATTAATATTTAAATATATATTTATTATTATATAAAAATAAGTCCGGTTTTCCTCCCTGACGCTATAACTCCAGAACGCACGAACCGATTTCCACGGTTTTGCATTCGTTGGAAAGGTCTTGGGCTCCTTGAGGTTTATAGCAAAGAAAATTCTGGAAAATTCAGGAAAAATTCAACAGAAAAGTGGGGAAATCGTTTTTCACATACAGCGCCTTCTATTATACATAGCATGTACTTCAAACCAATAGCAACGGTGCGTGATAAAGTGTGTGATAGATAGTCATTATTCTCTGCTCAGTTAATTTCATTTAAGCTCAGTGTAAATTATGTGGATCGTGCATTTGAAGTTAAATTCAACACTCTGTCCATAGTCCAAAATGCCTAGAGAACGACGTGCGAACATCGGCCGCCGCACAAGACATGCAAGCCAGCAACAAGTCTATTCAAGGAACTTAAGAGAAGAAAGAAAAAATATAATAAGAGAAAATGACCGATTGAGACATCGCGTGAGCACACGAAGATCATTGGCATCATACAATCGCTTGGCATTCCAATATGATCCCACTGCGAACTACAGTGATGATGAAAATTTGGATATTGGACGAATGACGACTATATGCCGATATTGCAATGCGGTAAAGTTCAAAAGAGAAACGGTTGGATTGTGCTGCGCAAGTGGAAAAGTCAAACTGGATCCATTACTTACACCACCACAGCCACTGAAAACATTGTTTGATGGAAGTGATCCCGATTCCAGCCATTTTCTTCAACACATCCTTGAATACAATAACTGCTTTCGCATGACTTCCTTTGGAGCTAATATCATTCGAGAAGGCGGCTTCATGCCGACTTGCAAGGTAAAAGATACAACACACATAACCAACACATAATTGCAACACATAACAACTTCATATACACCACACACTACACCATCACACGATTTACAATGTATTCATGAACAAATTTTAATGATTATTTGCAATTACAGATACAAGGTCAAATATATCATTTGCATGGTTCAATGGTGCCAACACCAGATGAACCGCATCAATTTCTGCAAATATATTTCATTTCGTCGATGGTGGATCAGCTGAACGTGCGGTGCAATATACAGGGAGCACAACAGTTAAAGAGACGAATTATTGAACAGTTGCAAGCATTTTTTCACGCTAATAATGCTGTGGTTAATATGTTCAAAACAGCATAGGAATGATTGCGCCAAATCGATCGATGCACGATGCATTCAACCAAGAATTAAATCGAGAGCTGCAATACAATGTTGATACATTGCAGGAATTCGTTAGAAATAATGTTCCGTTGCTGAATGAACAGCAAAAACAAGTATACAAAACATTAATGCAAGCGGTGGACAATAATACTGGTGGTCTATTCTTCCTGGATGCACCTGGAGGAACAGGGAAAACATTTGTCATTTCATTGATTTTGGCCACTATTCGATCAAGATGTGACATAGCTTTGGCGTTAGCATCATCTGGAATTGCGGCGACTCTTCTAGATGGCGGTCGTACTGCACATTCTGCGCTTAAGTTGCCACTCAATTTAAACACAATTGATACTCCAACGTGCAATATTTCCCGATCCAGTGCAATGGGAAAATTGTTAATGCAATGCAAGCTCATTGTTTGGGATGAGTGCACAATGGCACATAAGAAATCACTTGAAGCACTTAACTTCACACTGAAGGATCTTCGGAGAAATAACAACATCTTTGGCGGCTTGATGATATTGTTGGCAGGCGATTTCAGGCAGACGTTGCCAGTAGTTCCCCGTGGAACGCCTGCAGATGAATTGAATGCTTGCCTAAAGGCATCACCTTTATGGAATAACGTAAAAACATTATCGCTAACCACTAATATGAGAGTTCAACTTCAAAATGATCAAAGTGCTGCACAATTTTCCAAACAATTGTTAGATCTTGGAAATGGAAAAGTCCCAGTTGATGCGACATCTGGATTAATTACTCTTACCAACGACTTTTGCCGATTTGTAGACACTCAATTAGTTCTTATTGAAAATGTTTTCCCAAACATTAGTGAGAATTATAAGAATTATGCTTGGTTAAGTCAACGAGCAATTCTTGCAGCAAAGAATAATGATGTCCACGCACTGAATTTCACCATTCAATCAAAAATTGCTGGCGATTTGGTGACATACAAATCCGTTGATTCAATAACAAATCCCGATGATGTAGTAAATTATCCAACGGAGTTTTTGAACTCTCTGGAGATACCAGGATTTCCACCACATAACTTGCAACTGAAAGTTGGTACAGTTATTTTGATACTGCGTAATTTGAATCCACCGCGACTTTGCAACGGTACTCGACTTTCGGTAAAGAGACTTATGCCGAATTTAATTGAGGCAACCATTATTAACGGAAAGTACGCAGGTGAAAATGTATGTATTCCTCGAATACCAATGATTCCGACTGATCTTCCGTTTGACTTCAAACGATTGCAATTCCCAGTTCGCCTTGCGTTCGCAATGACAATTAATAAGTCGCAAGGCCAATCGCTTAGTGTTTGCGGGATAAATTTGGAAAATCATTGTTTTTCACATGGACAGTTATACGTTGCGTGTTCACGAGTTGGGAAACCATCCGCTTTGTTTGTGTTAACGTCAGACCAAAAAACAAAAAATGTGGTTTACCAAAGAGCACTACAATGAAACAATTAAATAACACTTCATTTTAGTAGGTAATTGAAATGAATTTATTACTGTTGTGAAATGAAATAAATATTTTCCTTTTCAAATATATAACAAAAAAAATTTTTTTTCTTTATCTTTTAATCACCAAACGAAATGTTACATAAAACGAATCTGGTGGCGAAACGGAGTTCGCCGGGTCTGCTAGTATATATATATATATATATATATATATATATATAACAACTAAATTATTAAACGATCTATAATAAAATATAACGTAAACTTACCAATATTTTCTACTTTTTGTTTCTTGAAGAAAAAATTTTTAATTGAAATACTTGATAAATTCCTTTTTGATGTTGGAATTTTAGACTTGCAACTATTGACATGTCTAGTCCAATTTGTTGCATTCATGTCACCTTTTTGTCTCCCACAAATTTCGCAATATGTCATGCTCGGGAATCGGGAACAAGCTAATTAATCAATCAATGTTTTTAATTCATGAACTTAATTACTAATTTATTATATTTTTGGTTATTTATGTAATTATGTATAACTCAATATCTCAATAACTGTATAAGTAATAATGTTTACTTACCGTTCGTATAAATTTATAAAACTGATTTAACAATTGTGTTTAAACTTAAAGCTATTAAAACAAACTTGTAAATGTATAAATTGTAATATTATTATAAAATATTTAAATAATAAAAAATATTACAATATAGTATATATATATTATATACAAAATATATCAAAAAAACTTTAGAAGTCAAAAACTCAAAAAAGTCACAGGAACGGACAATAATAAAAATGCGCAGGTTAGAAGCGTAGGCCGTAATGTTAAACTACAGAGTGCAGAAGCCGTCTATCGAGACGTCGAGTGTCGATGTGAAAGTGTCAACTATTTCAATAATTTAATACATTCAAAATAATATTTTTCTAAAAATATAAATCTTAATTTCGTTTTGTTATCGCTATCATTGTGTATTTGTGTTGATCCGGGCGCGCTGTCCCACCAAGCCATATAATAGTAGTACGGTCTACGAGAGAAATTAGTCGTCAAAATATTGTATTTTTATACCATTATCAACGAATTGCTAGCCAACCGCAAGTTGTTTCCCGGAAATTATAATGAATCGTTGTTAAATATGCGGGTAGTGTTTGTGGCGCGGTGGACACTAACACAATTGTTTATATACTACTTACACAACAGCACTAAGCGACTTCAACTGATTAACTAATTGCCTATCGTTTACTCCTTAGTCCTTAGAAACAGAGCGCTTTCAGCTCCCTTAACTACACGTCATACGTCTATTACTTGGATAACAAAATATACAACATAAATTCATAACTTTTTTGCATACATGTACATTAACCACTTATCCACGGGTCAGGTACCACCACCCCCACCCCCCCAAAAAACCAGAAGCAATTGCTTCTGAAAAACATAATTCGCTACGCCACTGGCCCCGATTACATCAGTGAATGTGGAACGGTCGTTTTCAATTTATAAAAATATGCTTACCAACAATCGCCATACATTTAAATTTGATAATATCAGAAAATGTCTTATTGTACAGTCAAACTTTACAGGTAAACAATTAATTATTTTTATATTTAAAAATAATTTAAATATTATATAAAATACTAAACTTTTTCCTTTTCGCTGTAGGAGAAGAAGAAAAAAATGAAACCAACCATACACAGTAAAATAAACTAAATTAAAGAATTGTCTACATTAAAAATTTAATAAATTACTTTTTTTTAATTGCTAATAAAAAAAATTTCAGTTGCATATTTTTACGCATATTTTAGTTATTTTTAGTGCATATGTGCATGCATATTTCCTACAATTTATATGCAACAAATCCTGAACCCTAATAATAATCATCAAAGAATTTATTAGAGTATAAAACTATAAAATTAAATAATTTTACATATATATTTATATAATTTATGTACAACACAGATTAATCTAAAATTTAATTTTTAAATGTAATTCATAATATCATTTTTTCAAATAAAAATGAATGTAAAAAAAAACAATTCATATGATAAAATAAAAAATGCTTAATATAATAAATAATATTTGTATTATGTTATACAATTTTTATTATATGTCAACGTTTTAAATTGGTATCCCTAAATACTTATTTCGCACTTTTAATAAATATTTTAGTAAATCTTTAGAATGTTTATTTTTTAAATATTCATTGTAAGCCATAATAGTTGCATTAATTTTTTGCATTTCAATAAAACTCATATTTTTATGACAGTCAGTTTCAATTGACCGAATTTTCGTCATCGTTTCAGCTTGAGTTTCTTGTAAAACCATAATTACCAAGTGTATGTGTGGGTGAGACTTGTAGAATTGTGAATTGTAAGTTCTATGAAAACGTTCAACCGCATTTGTTGTTCTGTAAAAAATAAATTTCATTGAAATTAAATTAACATTTTTTTTGTATTTAATAATTAGATTTTAGATGATCTACCTTGTATCGAACATAGGTTCTTTAGCCCACATATTTGGGGGAAATGGAGATTCGTCATCTATATAATTATTAAAAATACAATCGCTAAATTCTGAGCAGACTCTATCATTTGGACAGACACTCATGAGTTCGACGAATGCATCAGCTACTTCATGACTGGGAAGAAAAGCTAACCCAAAAAAACTCTTTATCCAATTTCCTAGTTCACCGTTTTCTTTTTTATAGGCTATTCTGAGAATAGAATCGCTGTTTATCTATAATAATTAAGAATACAATTAATGTATGATTATTTGATTTGAAATTATTTTGTACTTACTTTTCGCCACGATGATTGGCCTAAATGAAATCGACAAGCTATTAATTGTTCATTTTCAAAAACTTCATACGCGGCTTGGTGAACAGCCTTTTCAAAGTCAACGTATAATTTTTTTAATGTGAATTGACTTCCTGTATATTTTATACATATGTCTTGTAGGAATATCCACATTTTTTTATATATATATACTAGCTGTCCCAACACGGCGTTGCCCGCGTATTAGTTGGTTTTTTAGCATTTTCGTAGGCCATGTATTAGTGTTATTATGTATGAGAAAATTTAAAAGTAATAGGTAAAGTATCTAAAAGTTGAAATTAAGTACAAACCAAAATATATATTTTCTGAATTTACATTTTATTCATCTTATATTAAATTATTATTTGTAATCAGTGACCTACTTACAAAAAATACTATATACATTAAAAACATACAAAAATAAATTAAATTATTAAAACTAAAAATTATCTAAGTACTACTTTGTGTACAACATGTAATGAACTGAACATGTCGAGTTTTATCATTACAAAATAAGTTTATTTATAAGCATAATAATTTTACCAGAATGGATAAAGATATATGTATGAATACATAATAAAATATAACATAACATTTAACATAACATAAAATTTAACAAAATATAACATTTAACATAATAAGTAATATTTAATATGTTTATCACTTACGGCTCTGTAGCACTTTGAAGTAAAACGATAATTTAAATTATTCAATGTTGCGGCGTAAAAGGGGACACGAGTGTATTACGGAGCCTTATAACAACGAAAAATAAAATAGTCAAAGGTGTGGGGTATTAAGGCCACACCGGACTATTTATTTACTCACACAACTTTAAATTTAAAAAGAAAATGATTTACGCGCCGAATATTGAAAACTGAAATTATTTTGGTGGGGAACGCTGACATCGGTGGGGAGATACTTTTAGGCCAGGCAGTCCGACAGACGGGGTTTTAAGGCCGTACCCTGGACTCTGAACCTTTAGAAATATCTCGCAACCGATATTTGGTCAGAAAGATGTGTCGAATTGGTCTGTCGGTCTCATATATATGTGTATTTGGTGTTTATTGATTTAATTTCCCGGGTGAGTAAAAGGTACATGTTTCATTTAATAAGTTTTGGTAGATTAATGTATATTGTATTTGGAGATATGTATTTATTGTGCACTGTAGGCGTTTCTGACTTTTACTATTTATTTACTGTTAAAGAAAGTTGAAAGTTTATTAATTGTATTACAAATTTTATGTTTTTTAATATTACATCGCGTCAGCGCTATCTACCGTCGTTGCAGTGTGAGATCGACGGGTCGATGAGTGACGTCATGAGATACCGGTGGCGCGGCATAGCGGATGGTAGTAGGTGTGTGTGATCGTTACAAACATTCCTGGTTAACTTGTCTTTCGCTAACTTTCGGAATAGGAAGAGGTGCCAGTACAACTTTTCCAGATGCACAACACATACCAATCGTTTCATTGCGGAATTTTAACGCTTGACAATATTGGCATATTTTATCCATTGCACCAATTATAATTTTAGTATGTGCAGAGTAATTGATATCTGGTGCATATTCGAACGCAAGGCGAACGAATGATGCACGTGTTAATGCACGGTTGGTTTGTTGTCGCTCTCTGTCAAGTTCTCTAAATGTGGCTATGTGCCGTTCTCGCGCCGATCTTGTTCTCAATATATTTTGTCGTAGACGTTCATCACGCTGTTCTCGAGACTCTTGTCTGCGAATTTCTGCTGTTCTGATTTGTTGAGCTGCGTTTCTTGCTGCAATTTGTTCTTCCGATTCATGAGCTCTATTAGCACGCATACGTCGTGCATTTTTACTATACTGATTGTGTAGGTTAGATTTCCGCGGCATTATACTAAATTTAAAAAAAATTAAAGAATATTCAATACTGAACACTGCACAATAATAACACAGTACCAAGTATTTATGGTTAGTGTGTAGGTAAAGTAAAATACGAAAACACTAAACCGGTACAAATTAAACTGTATAAATAAAAATAACAAACAAAACTCGAGACGGCGCGATTAACTTCAAGCCATACCAAAATATAAGAATGAGGCAAACCTCGCTTTTGCCACTCAATAGAATACAGCCAGCAACGTGTGTTACCAAAAACTGAATATTTTACGATTAAATTAATTAAAGATTTTAACTTTTGTTTAAACACACGTGTAACGATATCGTGACGATGTATTGATTGTTGGCCTGGTAATAACAAACTTTTTATTTCTTCCCAATTTGGATTACACGTAAATGTAACAAACAAATCAGGTCGACCGTAATGACGTACATAAGTCATCGCATCTTGTATGTATTCCTGCATGCTCCGTGGACTGCCGATGTAGCTTGAAGGTAAAATACATGCAGTTCCGATGTCATTGGCGTTTAAATTTTCATCGATGTTTCCGGTGATAGAAATACACCGAAATACACCATGCAATTATACACATTTATTAAAAAGTTAATTAAAATATTTAGAATATTTAAAAAATATAAATTCTTTTCCTCGCTCTGATACAATAACTTTTATTTCATTATTTTCCATCGCGTTCGATGTATATAAAAAAAGTAAAAATGTCTAAAATAAAACGGTGTAACTTGTAACGACGAACAACCACTAACCACGAACGCCTGATAGTACTGAGTCTAAGTTCTACAGCTAACAATACAAAAGCCCGCTTCTATATTTTGTGTAGATAACAAATACAGTCGAATCCGCTTTATTGGGACACATCGGTTGCATGTTATTTTGTCCCAATAAAGCGGTTGTCCCAATAATCCGAAATACAAAAATGTTTTGAAATTTTTTTATTATTGACTTTATTTAAATTTTTTATTACATTACAAAAAGAAAAACACGGTATTATAACTTAGTTATTTATAAAAATACATACATACATAATTAATATATAGTACATACATTCATTGTATTTTATCTTATTTAAAAAAACTATGAATATTACTTTGTTTCTCGCATATTATTGATTGTTGACGAATGTAGTCCGAACAAGAATCCAAAGCATTTAAGGTACGCGTCCATAGGTACGCATCGTACGTATCGTACGGATCGTATGAAACGGATTTTAGAATTATTAGTATAGTAAGTTATACATATGCGTCCACTGGCCGGCAGCGGACGGATCGCACGTATCGGTCCGTCAGTAATGCCGACGAAATTGATCGAAGGGGCAACTTTTCCGACTGGTGCGGATGACGTCATACGGATTGCCGATAAGTGGACACGTGTCACAACGGGTCGTCACTGGTTGCCACACTGATCATTCTGTTGTATTTCGACACTCAGTACACACGTGTTTTAATTATAATATATTTATTATTTAAATTATAATTATTATTACACATATTATGGACATCGCAAGGCTAATAACAATTGTACAGGAGTACGAAGAGTTGTACAATTTAAAACACCCTAATTACTCGAATCAACAAAGACGAGACAACATTTGGGAAGAAATTGGAAAGAGATTAAATCAAACTGGTAAGTTTATTCATATTACAATATAATTAGTTAGTAAAATAAAGTTATTTAGGTACAAAATGTTTAGTTAATCACTGTATCATAGAGTCACGTGAACCTCCTTCCAGCTCGAACTCTCCTTAATTGCCATTCTACTGACCCTGCTGCTGAATTAAAATAACTTTTGAAACCATCCCTAACTGCTAAAGCATCTGTTTTCGAATTTCCACCCATATTTCTTAAGTCTTGCAGTCCTCTCATGTTGGAAATAGAAATATTCAAATCATTTTCTGTCCAGTGACACGTGTCATTTCTTAGAAAATTGTGCAAGCAACATGTAGCCATTACAACACTCACAATGTGTTCTTGAGACATAGACAACTTACGTTCGAAAATTCTAAATTTCCGTGCCAATATTCCAAACGTATTTTCCACAGTGTTTCTAGCACGACTCAACCGATAGTTAAACACTTTTTTTCTTCGTTTCTTTGTGCATCGTCGCTTGAGTATGGTCGCATCAAATTCGTGCATAATGGGAAAGCTTCATTATTACGTGAGGTAATACGTCACTGCCCCCGGGTAGTATTTTTGGTGAAGGTATATTTAGAGTTCCATTCTGTAAGCCTTTACCCAAATTAGAATTTCGCAAAATGCTAGCATCAGAGTTTTTACCAAAAGCCCCAATATCTACGACTATGAATTTATAATTTGCATCCACTAACGCTAATAGCACCGTACTAAAGTGTTTTTTATAACAAAAATAATTTGATCCACTGTGTGGTGGTGCCTGTATCAACACGTGTTTCCCATCAATGGCAGCAATCGCGTTAGGAAAATTCCATTTTTCACGAAAACCTTCTTCCGATTCTCTCCATACTTCTTCAGATGGTTTAGGCATTACTAGTGGCTGTAGAAACTGGGATATGGCTTCGCAGGTTGAGTAAACGATTCTTCGTACTGTGCGTTCACCTAGCCTAAAGGAAAATGAAATTGAACGAAAAGAGTTCCCAGTGGTCAAAAACCTGAAACAAAAGTAATGGCAACCGAAACAAGGTTAATATTATTCTAAATACTCAAATACCTATAAATAAATAGCCTAATATACGCGTATCCTTAGTTATAAAATTGAACATTTTATAATTTTTAGGTTCTGAATGAAGTGATGAATGTATTGATTTTACAATGATGTGTGTTTATTTTGTTTTTTTATGTATCTACATTGTAAGGTCATTTTTTGAAAGTTACACCAAAAGCCAAAATTGGTTTTGTATTGTAAAATGAATACATTCACCATTCCGTACAGAATATAAAACAAACACGTCGTAAAATCAACACATCGTTAATCGACTCGATCGTAATCTAAAAATATTGATTCATTGTAATGCATTACTGGTAATGCATGCAAGGAGAGATGGACCAGAACTGGAGACAACCATAGGAAGGCTTTGAATCTGCGCAAAACCAAAAGCGGCCAAGCAGCATCAAAACTGAAGCCTCCCAAATACTATAAAGAGCTCACTTTCCTCACTCCGTATTTGAATGACAAGGAAGAGAGACTTTCAAACCTATCGCCACCTATTGGTGATGATAGTAACGGTGATGAAGAAGAGCTTGAAATATCACGTAATCTAAATAATTTAGATAGTGATACAGTAAATGAATCAAGTGATACACAAGAGTCACAACCAACATCGTCATTGTTATCATCACGAACTGTTGGTAGGAAATCGAAGTTTGTAACACCACAACAACCAACTGCAGCTAACGTTCTTCAGGAATATTTATCAAAAAAAGAACAACTCAACAGCATTCAGAGTGATCCTATGGTTGAATTTTTTATAAATATGGCAAAAACAGTCAAGACTTTTCCTATTCGAGATCAAGTTCATATTAAGGCGCAATTGTTTCAAATGGTTAACAATGTAGAGATGAGACTCGCATTAACTTCACCAACTTCTGTTTCCAACGTAACGATGCCTCCGCCACCATTAAATTATTCAAGGTTTTCTATACCATCTACTTCAAAACAAACTTCAAATAGAACAATGTATTTTTCACCTACCATGAACGAAACTCTGCATATTCATTGCCCGTCACCTGTAACGATGTCTCCTTCGCCTGATTCAAATGTAATTATGACTCCGTCACCTAATTCTAATGCATCGATGTCTCCTATATCTAATTCAAGTGCCGTTATGTCTCCTTTGCCTAATTCAAATGCCATTATGACTCCTTCACCTTCCACAAACGAATTTTCTTATACGCAGAATCAAGATAATCAATATCTAAGTCAATTTTTAAAATTTCCTTATAATAATATAAATAATGTATCGGAATAACTTTGTTTTGTACCACATTGTAAAAAACTGACTCAACTAGAATAAAAAGCAAATTGGTTTAAAAATGTAATCGTATTGTTTTTCACATTGCGTTTGAAACGATGTATCTACTTAATATTTAATACCTACCCAATAATTATATTTTTTAATATTTAAAACTAATTGTTTTTAATACATACCTTAAACACACAGCAAGTTTTTGTTCTGATTCTATGGCCTCTCTGTATTTTGTATTCTGTCTTAATGTATGAGGACGTAAGATGTCAAGAAGAGTTGTGAATTTGGCATGAGACATACGAAAATACTGGAAGAATTTTACATCGTCGTTGAGTAAATTAGTAAACAGTGTATGATATTCTCCAAATTGTGACCTTTTTTTGAATATGTCATGTATCCACATTCTATGTTTTCTCTTATTTCCTCTACTTTCTTCTTCATCTTCTTCAAATCATTCAAATAACAAAGTAATAATGACAAGTTCTTCATCACTTTCCATGTTGTCTATTAGGTACACACACTGTACACACACACACTGGTACACACACACTGGATTGTGTAATGTTTCTGATCGTTCACTCGCAACGAAAATGCGAATGTTAATTAAAAAAATCCGACCGTCGCATCGGCAATCCGATCGCTACGGATACAGTGGACGCACTACCACAAAATGATCCGTTTCATACGATTCGTCCGATACGTACGATGCGTACCTATGGACGCGTACCTTTATGGGGCTTCCTTCATTTTCTTGTTGAAGAAAAAATAGTCTCAATGTTTCCAAACATTTCTTTGCCTCCTGTAGTCGAATTGGTGGATCTGGTTCCTCGTCTGTATCTTCATCCGAATCATGTTTATCTTGTATGTATCCTTTTCCGTGTTGTCACTTGGCTAAGAGCTTGTTCTCGCAAAAGCTGTTCTTGAAGTTGAATTCGTGCGATTGTTGATTTCGGTATTCCTAAATTTCCGAAAGACGACGAGTACTACAGCCTGGTGGCTGTAATTTAATTTTGTCGAGAATTTCTAATTTTTGCGCGAGCGATAAATCTTTACGTACACGAGACATCGTTAATACGAGCGACAAACACGACTGATGCACCAAATAACATTTAACATACATCACATGTGAACATACGATAAGATAAAATTTAATCTAATAAGCGATTACGCGAGTCGGTCGCGATTTTCGAACTACTGATCTATTAATATACCCGATAAAAATGTCCCAATTATCCGAATTCGTGGCCCAAATAAGCGTTGAACGTTTACCCTACAAGTATACATTTGTTTTCGTAATTGAAGAATTGTCCCTATTAAGCGGTTGTCCTTATTAACCGGTGTCTCTATTAAGCGGATTCGACTGTAATATCCAATTTAACAGATAATCGTAATCGCCAATGTACATATTTTGATTTTACGATTATGTCGTTTCCTAAATAACTTTTATATTCTATATCTATTTTCTTTAGACTCGTGCCGCTTTTCAAGAGATGGGAAACCACGAATGAAAATAATCACCATGCTCTACGGTTAAATACCTCCCATACGACTTATGAAGCACAGCGATTACGAATGCGAGTATTTCAAAAGACGCTTGTAGCTCGGTTGTAGTCGGATAGAAAAACTGGCAACGTTGCATTCGTTTGACTGTGCTCAATTAGGCTATTAAATATTATGGACCGTGCTCAATCGGGTTTTTCAAAAATAGGGAATGTGCTCAATCGGGTTTCAACGATACTAGCCGACCCGTCACATAGCTTCACCCGTGATTGGGTGTTTATTTTTCCTTCGGACCATGATATGTAGAATTTTTTATTCAAATATTATTGTTTAATGTGATCGGCAAGTAAATATAAAAAAGGGTTAATGAAAACGGATTGAAATTTTTCTAGCATTATAAATGATAAAAATAAATACAGATAAAAAAGAAATAATTTATGGTTGATAAAGAATTTGATTGAAGTTGATGAAGAAAAAAAAGAAAAAAAAGAATAAAAATAAAAATTTTATAAGACTTCTGAGTATATGATGTTTTTTGTTATATTTCCTGTTGAAATTAAAATCATAAGATGATTCGGGTCCCCAGTTCGAGAAAATGCCACGTATAATTGCCCATGTGAAAAGCACTCTGTACGAAGATCTACGCCACCGTACTTGAATGTTTGACCTTGCGCTTTCTACGTAATAATTGGAGCACCAATTTTTAATTTTAGCTTATGAGAAGGAAATCCCGAAGAAAAAAGAGAATTGAGAAATTGTAGTGGATAATAAATAGCATCATCTGTTGATTTAACTGTATCAATGGACAGATATTCACGTGAGTGTCTATCGAATTTTAGAAGGATGATATCATTAATTTCTCCTGCTGTTACATTTCTCGGAGATAATAGCTCTTTTACATAACCATCGATAAGATTTATTAAACAGATTAAAAATGTCAGGATAAACTGTAGACATCAACTCTTCCACGTTATTGACCACCCGTCCAATCGTGTGATTGACAGAAATGTAACCATTTTCATATTCTAAAGTTCCATTTCCAATTTTCAACAACTGTGCTGAAAAAATATCGTCCCCTCCGCATAAATAAACTCTCATGTTTGTTTCCAATTAAAGTTTTTCAACATAGTTCCATATATGAGAAGATTTTAAGCAAGCATTAACGACATCAGCTCGAGTACCTTTAGGGATTACTGGTAAGGTTTGACGGAAATCACCAGCGAAAACAAATGTTATGCCACCCATAAACTTATTATTACACCTAAGATCTTTTAATGTTCGATCAATTGCTTCGATATGTGATCTTAACTCATTGTACACTCATCCCACACAACGAATGAGGATTCTTGAAGAATTTTTACAAGAGTGCCATTTTTACGAATCGGACAAACGTATTCTGTATCAAATAATACATTTAACGGTAACTTGAAAGTCAAGTGAGCAGTTCTGCCGCCACTAAGGAGAGTTGGTACTATACCAGATGAAGCTACTGCTAATGCAACATTACCTGAGGATCTAATTTGATACAACAACAAATTAATTAGGAATTTTTTTCCTGTACCACCCGGAGCATCTAAAAAAAAAAAAAAACTCTTCCTTGATGATTCATTAAGCTTTCTGAAATAACATTAAAAGCATATTTTTGATTATTTACTAATTTTGGTAAATTGATTTCTACAAATTCTTGTAATCGGTTATCATCGTAAGAACGCAAAATTGAGAATTCAAAAGGATCAGATGCATTTTCATTTCGAACAGGTGAGTTCATTCCAAATTCAGTTAAATATTTTTCAGACAGACAAACAACATTATCTTCTATTTCAATGAAACCTCTATTAAATATTTTATCAGAAAAAGAAAATTGCAAGTCATTTAATTGAGTGCGCTCTGTATAAAGAATATCTTCACAAAAATCATTTCTGAACTGTTCCCACAAAGATTGAGGTTCAGACGGTTAGCAGAAAACTATGATTATTGCGAATAATTCTCTTAATTTTGAAGGACTTTCTGAAAGAGTTGCCTCCGCTTGAGCATTTTTCCATTGCTCGTCATTTTCTAAAAGCCCAAGAGCAAAACAGGTAGCTTTAAAAGTCGCGTGAATGACTCCATCAAAGGCCTTCAAGCTTTCAAATGAAGTAGGACCTTGTATATAATTTAGTAACAATCTTAAATGGAAGCACTCACTTTGATTTGGGTGAATCGTGTAAATTCTACCAATGGCAGTGTCCATTTTTATTCCTGGCCAACCTGGAACATCTTTTCCCCCTCTTCTCTTTAACCAGCCACTGCTATCTTGTAATCAATCATCAATGATTTCATTGGCTCCACGACTAGCGATACCTTCATGCCAGACACACATATAACTTTTTCTTGTGTCACCGACGTGTAAACACAGATTGTACACTGAAAGTTGTCGGCTATAGTACATCTGGCTGTGCGTCAATGTAGGTACAAAAAGAACTTTTTCCAAATCCATACAAAGCACTAACGTATCGCTATTCGGCTCTTGAGCGTCCTTCATATTTTTGTACATCATGGTTTTCGCTTTATCCGCTTTTCGCAGATGTAATTCTTTTTGTTTAGTAGCATTTAAACCAGCAATCGTTTTATCTTTTCCTTGCATGTGCAACCGGTCACACGTCATACAAGTATCTGTTCGCGGTCGCCGGAAAGATAAGGTTTGAAAATACTTTAGAAATGTACGGCGATAAAATTGAATAGAAACATTTGAATCAGGGTTCTGAATTTTGAATGCGCTATGCAATCTCGAAATATTAAGATCTGGGCTGAGAAATTCTTTATTATTTTTATTACGAGTATAATTTGATTCTTCTCTTGGGAATTGCATCACGTGTAATATAATAGAGTTTCGCGTTTCTTCATGGTACTTTAGTTTATGTACATGAGAATTTGGATTCCTTCCGATGTTACTTATAAAAGATATCTCACCCTTTTTTGTGTGCTCAATTAAATTCTGTAACCGACTATTCGATAATGAAAATAAACGCATAAATGACTGTTTACAAACCTGTAGCAAATTCTCTTCACCCGGCACTATATATTTGATTGAACATTGTCTACGACTGCTATCAGGAATTTCTTGTTTTTCCTTTCTACGCCTCTGAATACTGATCAAGGAAATTCTGCTCAACAAATAATCTGCTTGTTGTTTATAACGCAAAGACGCAAACTGTTTACGAGTCATAACGATACGATTCACAGTCAATTTTTGACATTCGTACGAGCATTTACAAACAACTAGTGACTCAGGTGTGCATTCTGTTACCGTTTTTGCTTTCTTCATATTTGAATAACCTATTATTGAAAATTTGTAACAAAAAACGAAAAACGAACAACGAAAAACGTGTAAATGTGAGTTGTAATATTCAAGTTTTAACGTATGGACAAATATTTTATACTGATTATGTTATCAGATGTAACATACACCGATTTCAACAAACGTCAACAACTTCAGATACATAAAATCTTTCTTGAAATCAATTTTTTGAATTCTTAACGTACGTTTATTCATACATTATGTACTACAATCTGTTGGCAACACTGAGTTTTATCAATTAATGTAATAAAACGGTTTTTGAAAAATTGTAGCATACACCGATCTCCACGGGAGGTCTTTAATTAATAATTATTTATATAATTAATAATATAAATTTGACACTTATTTTCCAAACCAAATAAATAGATTTTTCATAAACAAGTTATAGGTTTTCATATATTTAATTAATTTTTTAAATTCTATTTAAATAAATGTATTCTGATCATAGTACACTATTTTCCAAGATTTTGGACATTTTCCAGGGGGGACATGTCCCTCCCTTTCCCTCCCATATGGGCGCCCTTGGATGAGGTGTTTAATAAAAACGAAGAGCATTTAATAATTTTATAATTATTATCACGTTATATCAAGCCATAAACGTAGATCGTACATACAAAAAATGTTGTTAATTGAATGGCGTTATACAGAAAGCAACCATCCCACTAATGTTCTAAATGGATATAATTGATGTTTTAGAAAAATATCTTTTATAAATTTGTTTACAGCTCATATGATTTAAAACCAAAATATCTTATTAATTGAATGTATTTATTATTTTAAAGACTTACTAATATATTCCTAATACAATCAATACTCACTATTATTTTAATATTTGTGGTTGGTTGTCTTGTGATAAACGTAAAAATGTGGTATGGTTGCTTTATGTCGGTTGGTTGTTTTCAATGCATTCTATAACATATTTTTTAATCTTTAATAAAATACACTTATGTGACTAACTTTGGTAGTTAAAAATTTTATTCATCAAACATAATTTCTTAAACTTAAATAGTAACGTTTATCTCAGTCTTTGAGTTATTTCATTAAAAAACAATATGTGTAACAACAAAATTAATAAGAAGTCATAAAACAAAAACAAATAATACAACCTTTTTTAGAATAATAATAATAATAATTATAAACTTAACAGCATTTAATTTATCTCAGTTTGAGTTATATCATTAAAAAACAATAGGTATGTGTAACAACAAAATTAAAAAAAATCTATTAAAACAAAATCAAATAGGTACAACATTTTTTAGTAACATAATAATAATTTTAAACTTAACAGCATTTAATATATCTCAGTCTTTGAGTTATAACAATTAAATAGTTAAACAAGTGTAATTCAAAATTTTAAAAAAAGTGTATTATTAATCAATATTATTAGATTCTATGTCAAAATCTAAATTCTCATTGAAACCATTAACATCTTCTACAATTTTACCATTTCCTGTAAAATGTGTATAAAATTCTTGAGCATCAGCAGGTATGAGATGCATTATTGAATTAATATCATGTCGCGTACTGCGTAGTCACATAACATAAAAACACACATTATAAGAGGTTCTCATGAACATCGAAACTGGGCGTGTTGTCTGTTTAAGTGAGAATATGAATATTGGAGTCGCAGATACGTGGACAAGTGAAAGGGTTCACATAAACGTTTTCTGGGAAATTGTAATAAAATAGTTTATCGGAATGATGTGGTGACCACATCCTGTGTCCCTGCATCAGAGATTGTGTAATACACACATGTGCGGAATCGATGGGAAATTATCATATTTTATTGCCATTAGCGCACATGCACACTCACAATTCGTGGAAGTTGTCTTATTTTATTATCATTAGCGCACACACACACTCACAATTTATAGGAATTATCTTATTTTATTATCTTGTTCATTTACACACACACACTTGGGATTTTACACACACACATACAATATCACATATAAAAGGGACCCGAAAACAAGGGCAAATCAGACGAGTCTTGTCTATGCTGCACTGAGCACCTTCACGTCAGTGTATGTCATGGTCTGGACTTAGAAATATTTCCAATTATTTTATAAGTACAATTGTTAGGACTTAAATAATTTCTATCACTAGAATATTTACAA